ATATAAATATATGAAAAATTGATGTGGGTACTCAAATGAAAGGTCTCGATGACTGTAACATCAAGATGAGCTCATATCTTTAAAAATGTCAATATTTCACAAGATATTACTTAAATTACACTGTGCTTTCTTAACTATTGACCTTTTTAATGATATAAGCTCATCTTGATGCTACACTTATCAAGACCTTTCATTTGAGTACCCACATGCATTTTCATATATTTTTCATATGTACATATATGTGATATATATAAATATATGAAATATATGAAAAATTGATGTGGGTACTGAAATGAAAGGTCTCGATGAATGTAACATCGGGATGAGCTTATATCTTTAAAAAATGTCAATAGTTTACAAGATACAAGGTAATTTCTTAATTATGTATCTGGAGATAGAAAATTTTCGAATGCAGTCTAAATACTTATCATAATAAATTGATTATTGATGAGAATGATATAAAATGTTGAAAAGGCATAAATTTAAGTCAAGACATTTGCAATTACATTAAATTTCACTAAAAAAACCGATTTTATCATATGACTATCCTGGACACAAAATTTTCCTTATTCTCTTAATAGCATAGATTTTTTATTATTTATAATTGAAAGATGTAAGTAAGTAGAGTCTACTGAAACTAATCATCTTCAGAACATTAACTTTTAATTTATTAGACAATTACCTCGCATTTTGATAGAGAGAACGTGTGACCTAGATGTAGCCGGCCATTCATATAAGGGAACGGAAAAGTAGCCAAGAATTTTTCATCTTTCGACTTGGCTTTTTTAGGAGCATCTTCCTCGTATGCTTTGCTCGCTTCCCACTTGGCTTGGACTTCTTTTTCTATTTTTTGGAGGTATTCTACTTTGAAGGTTCCCTTTCGTTCATTAGCCTGGAAATAAAAAGATGTAAATATAATAAATATAACGGGTTTACAACAGCTGCTAAATATTTAAGTAGGTTAGGATTTTTGTGTAATTATATTAATCCGCAATTTAAGAATTTTATTATAATAATTAAGTATGTTATTGATGTTCAGTAATAAAAAGTGTTGGTACTTACCATTTTTGAGGTGTGTAGTTTTAATTACACAGTTTATATTGTATTTTTGGTAATACACGTGAACATCCGGCTTCTGAGAAGAACATACACAAGTTTATATTACATGCGCGTTTTTTACCTTGCTGACACATGAGTTGTGAGTAATGAAAACGAACTCCATTTTTATGCGCCATTTTTTAAATTGTTAATGCTGACATGACATTATTTGTTGCGTATATTTCATCATTCTTCGGTGTATTGACATTACACTGAAATTGAGTCATTAGAAATTTTTTATTATTTTATAATAAATAATAAATAATAAATTTAATAAAAAAAATCCAAGTGTGAAAAAAAATAACAAGGAAAATTTTTAGAATTATTTTTTTAGTGCAATTGATTAGTTATAAAAATTGACAGCTATATCAGCTGACCAGTATCATTTTATTATAAAAATTAAGTTTGCTACTATTATTATTATTATTATTATTATTATTATTATTATTATTATTATTATTATTATTATTATTATTATATTTTTATTTCTGTAGTATTAATTAATCTTGTTAAATATTACTTTAACTATTATTACTTTCAATGGAATTAAGAGTTACATTTATTATTTTAATAACTATTATAAAACAATGATACTAAAGTTAACCGACGTTTTTAATTTTTTGATTTTTTTTTAATAATTTAATTAGAACAAAAAAATATTTTTTAAAAATTGCACTTACAGTTTTTCAAGTTTTTAACAATTGACAATTTTTTTCCTTTTTTTTTTTGTAGTCATTTTTTCAATGAAAAAATTTTTTTAATTTTTAAATGTCGGCTAACTTAATTTTCATTATAAAACAATGCAATCGCTGGTATATGATATGGTCACAGGGAGCAAAAGCTCCATGATCAATTTAAATAAATAAATAAGTTAGCCAACATCCAAAAATTTTCAGAATTTTTTTAAATTGAAAAATTATCACAAATAAATAAAAATTTTCATTCGTAAAAAACTTGAAAAAGTATAAGTACAATTTTTAAAAAACATTTTTTAGTTCTAGTTTAATAATTAAGAAAAAATCAAAAAATTAAATAATTTTCATTGTAATAAAATTCTTAAATAATATTTAATGTCAGTTAACTTCAGTGTCATACAAAAAATTTCTTTTTTTGATTAAAATTTTTAAATGTCAATTTTTAGAGTAGTACATTGTTTTTTTTTTTTTTTTTTTTTTTTCAAATAAAAAATTATTTTAAAAAATTTTATGACATAATTTAAAACATTTTTTATGAATTTTAAAAAATATTTTTAATTTTTTACCTTTGATCAATAATTTCTTCATATTTTACATCAAAAATAAAATAAAGAAAAAATTTGATGTCAATTATTGAATTTTAACAATTTTATGATTAGGTTCAATTTTATCAACTCTACAAAATAAATAATAATTTCTTCTTATAATTAGTTTAAGAATCATAAAAACGATGAATACAAAATTGTTGTATAAAAAAATTATTAACAATTCTTAAAATACACATCAATGTACTGCTAGTTAAAAATAAAACTAAATTAACATAAAATTGTTTCTTATTTTCAGACCAAAGCAATAAAGAAATCATTAAGCGAAAAAATTGATCAATTATCCTTTTTAAATCCAAAAAATTCTAACTGCTTATATTATAAATAATATAAATTATTCACTTATTATTTAGCAATAAAATAATATAAAAAAAGGTATATTATGCCATCAGTGCATAAATAATTATTAGTCAATAGAAGATAGATCTATCATTTAAGTATTCTAACGGTCTTAGCAGTCAACTGTGCTAGGAAATACTCCAGCGAACCGCGAATCTTAAACCAATAATTTATCACTAAATACAAATGACAATATTACTGACTATAAAGTGAACAAATGGCCTTCTTTTTCATATAATGATTGACAGATCAAGTGCTATCATTACTATATAGCAGCTCCAGATTCTAGATCCAACAACCAACAACCAACACCGAGCTTGGAATTCGTGAATTTTTATGAACCAAACGATTTTTTACGACTTAAATTAGCAATTTAAATATTTGTCCCATCAATGTCAGGGTTTTTTAGGCCACCGTTAAAAATTTAGCATAAAGAAGAAATCAACTGCTTGTAATTATAATAATTTCCAAATTCTGTTCAAGCTTTTTTAATTAAATTTTTGTAATTTAATTTATATTTATACATTAATTAAATAATTTATATAGCTTCATAAAACCCTTAATTTTTATTTAGATAAATTGCATTCTTGCATTTGTTAGAATAATTTAAAAAATAATAATAAAAGTAACGTAAACTTTAGTGACCTCAAAGACCGGTACTGGTTTTATAATATTGCATTTTATTACATTTAATTTATTTTTTTAGGAATGAAATGAGGCATGTGTAACACATTGATTCAGGGTTGCCTTTTTTTTTCTTCCCAACCAGGAAGTGGGGAACTGGAATCAGTAAACCAGTAACCAGTTTAACGCGCGCAGTCCTTTCATCCACATCGTGTGAGCTTCCTTATACAGTCTTTGGTATTATTAATTGTTATATTAGGAATTTTTCCACTGAAAGTCTGAAAAATATATAATTTACAAATTTTATGATGATGAAAAAAATAAATTTTGTAATATTACTTTTTAAAAGTAAGTTTTGAGTGATATTATATTAGTGAGTTTTGTTTAAATTATTAAGTGCACAATGACGTTCAGGTGGATCCAGGTGATACAATTGATGGTGGTGTCTTCAGTTTGTGCCTTTGAGACAAGTGAAGAATACTTACGCAAAGCGATGCATGAACTTCAAGGAATACAGTCTCCGCTCTATACTAATTACCCTTTTTTTGCGGGGAAAAGGTACTCCAGGACTGCTAATATCTTGCAAGTGCAACAGGATACAAGGCCGGGATACCCGCCGAAGAAAAGTGAGCCTGAAGTTAGTCAATATTATTCTCAGGTAATTTTTGGAAATATTTTTTGGTACTTTAAAAGTTATATTTATTTCTTTAATTAAAATAGAAACTGAGTGAATATTTTTAAAACATTATGATGCTGAAGTCAACTGACAGATGATGATTTTTAGGATTTTCTTAGCAAATAAATTAATATAAAACAATTTTTATAAAAAATTCCACCTGTAGTAGATATGTCAAAAAATTATTGTTTTAATTTTTTTAAAAATGTTTTTTTAGAAGTAATTTATTTGATGACAATAAAGTTAGCCGAGATTTAAAAACTTTTAGAATTTTTTTTATTGAAAAAATTATTACAAAAAAATTTTTTTTTTAATTTCATTTGTAAAAAATTTGAAAAACTGTATAAGTGCAATTAAAAAAAATTTTTTTTAGTTTTAATTTAATAAATTGAACAAAATCAAAAAATAAAAAATGTCGGCTAACTTTATTTGTTATAAAAATTAAAAAAATGACAGATGTCGACTACATATTTATTAAAAAATTGCACTTGTAGTTTTTCAAATCTTCTAAATGAAAAAATGCTTCTTTAAATTTTTTTTTTAATAAATATTTTTAAGAAGAAAAATCATAAAATTGTAAAATGTTGGCTAATTTAATTTTAATAATTTTTTTGACACTGACTATTTTTTGATATTAATTAAAAAATAAATCAGTATGAAGAAACATATTATTTTAAAAACTTGCCTTTGTTGTTTTTTTAAATTTCTACATGTCTAATTTTTTTTTATAATAATAATTTGTAAGTAAGAAAAAATCTCAAAAATTGACAAGTGCCTTAACTTTTTAAAAAATTTTTTTTAGATGCCACTGCCCATGCCGGTTGTAGTTTCGGACCAAACTAACATGCCTGAATTACCTCTCGGATTCACTAAAAACGAATTAGCGATGATGTACAATCAGGCGCTGCAATCTGGTAACGCGATAAATTTGCCGGGGTTGAAAAACTCGTTGGAGTCTGGACAAATACCTACTGTCGTTGGTAATCATCTTCATATTCCTGACAGTAGTCAGCAGCAACAGCAATTTGCGTATTATTTTTATCCGCTAAAATCATTCATGGACACTCTTCAAAGTAATAATGGATATAAAACAATAGTAAGGTTTTTTTTTAAATATTATATACATTATTTTAATTTTTTGTGATACTAAAATTAGCAGACATTTGAAAATTTTGGATTTTTTGAATCAATAAATAATTATAAGTCAAAAAATTGGACTTAGAATTTTTTAAATTTTTATTTGTCAAATTTTTTATTTTAATTTTTTTCTAAAATAATTTTTTTTCAATAAAAAAATTCTAAAAATTTAAAAAAATCGGCTAAATAGATTTCCATTAGTTATAAAATAAAAATTGTTTTTTTTTTTCTAGAATGATTTGACCCCACAACAGTCAGTTCAAGAATCCCAAAAACAAATCATAATAAACCCTTTGTTTATGGCAATAAGCAGCTTCGTCGGGATGGCTTTAGTGTTTATGTTTGGAGTGATTGTTTTACCTAGAATACTTGGAGAGTTCAGGTCTCGGGTAGTCCATGATGAGCTCCTGGATCTCACAACAACTGTCAACGCAGCTATTGATAAGTACGAGCTCACAACAACGAGGCCGAAGACACCATTCGGAGTAGCTATGGTGGGAATCAAAACTAGACCGGTGCAACGCGTCAAGCGAAAAAAAATTCAGCGTAATAGGACTGTAATATAAATAACATGTATGTTTACCTGATTGAGGTTCATACATTTGACATACAAATAATTATTATTTATTTATTAGATAAATTTTAGTTTAATTTATCGTGATACTAACATCAGCAGACAAACTCTATCTTTAGATACATAATTAAGAAATGACCTTGTAACTATTGACATTTTTAAAGATATAAGCTCATCCCGATGTTACACTCATTGAGACCTTTCATTTGAGTATCTACATCAATTTTTCATATATTTCATATATTTATATATTTCAAAAATACCATATATATAAAATATATGAAAATTGCCATGTGGGTACTCAAATGAAAGGTCTCGATGAGTGTAACATCAGGATGAGCTTATATCTTTAAAAATTTCCATAGTTAAAAAATTCGTTGAATCTTGTGAACTATTGACATTTTTGAAGATATAAGCTCATCCCGATGTTACACTCGTCGAGACCTTTCATTCGAGTACCCACATCAATTTTTCATATATATCATATATATATATATTTGTATATATGAAAAATATATCAAAAATGCATGTGGGTACTCAAATGAAAGCTCTTGATGATTATAACATCGTGATGAGCTTATATCGTTCAAAACTTCAATAGTTAAGAAAGTACAGTGCAATTTAACAAAAGTCACTATTTAATAAACTAAAACTTTATTTATTTAGTTTTCAAGCAACTGCAGTCACATAGTACTAGTAATAATTAAATTTTAAAAATCTAAAAAATTAAAAGATGTCTGTTAATTCAAGTGTCATTAATTTAGCATAAAAAATAATAAGAGTAATCGACGACTGATTTATCTTATAATTAATATTTATTTATTTCAAATTATTTTAAAAACATTACTTTACAAAACTCTCCGTTCACTTAGACGCGACAACAATGTGTGTCAGTAATTACTATTTCTTCACAATTTGTCGTTACAGGAGAAAAAATTATATCATCTTAATTTTTTCTTTTAATTTACAATTACTTCACTCGGCGTTAATTAATATCATTTGTATAAATTAATTACCAGCAAATAATGCCACACAATTCTTCATTTGATAAGTACTGAAAAATATATTTTATAAAAAAATTTGTAAATAATTTATTGATATCAAACATTTTATTAAAAATTTTTTCATAAATTGTACATACAAATGAAGAATCGACTTGTGAACTAGCTGTATATTATTATTATTATGATTAGTATTTATTTTGCCATCTTGATCATATTAATACTGTTAAAAAAAAATTTTTTTTTTCTTTTAATTAATGTAAGACAGTCTCGATTAAAAATGTATCAATTAGTTATTTTTATTTAAAAATTTATTAATTTATTTATTTATTTATTCCTTGGGGCTCATAAGTTTGCGGTTAACAAAATATTCACAAGCTTAAATACTGATTATTGTACATTCGTTTTAGAGCCTTTAGATTTAATTAATTAATAATTATTTTTCCTACACTTTAGAATCAGATTTTTATTTTTAATTATTTAAATATTACAATTATTTTATTTAAATAATTAAAGAGCCAACTCAATATTTACTCGAAATAATTTATTAAAACAAAATTTCATTTACAATATATGTATAATATATATATTATTTATTAATATATATATATAATTGTTTATTTATAAAATTAATTGTCAGCATTTTAATGGCAACACATAAAGCAGATCTATTATTTTTATTTTTTATAAAAGGCTGTATTTTAACGAGGTAATTATTCAGGCATGCATTATAATTTAACGTAATGTTTGTAATTGATATAATTATTTTATACAGTCACCTGATTAGTCAAAAATAATAGAACAAAAAAAAGGAATTTAATGTAATAATTAATAATTAATAATAAATTAGAAATTTTTAGTATAAAAAAATTTAACAGTAAATACAACTGTTTACCTCAAATATATATAAATATATCATTTACATATGTATATATCTTGTGTAGTTGACATAACGTTTTAATATATGGGATAATTGTAGCGTAAACATAAAAATAATGTTAAAAAAAAAATAATTATCGCTTAGACGCGCAACAGACGAAATAAATGGAATGAAAAGCGTGAAATACAACGCGTGCCTAAAGGTAAAATAAAGTTGTCATTAAGGTGACTAAAATTGTCATAAAAGTAATTTTTGCAATATTTTTTCTCTGAGTAATAGCGACAATATTTGTTAAAATATCTAAATTTTATTTCAGTTTGGTAGCATAAATTTGTCATAAATATGTTCTAAATTATGTTAGTAAATGTAATATGATGCAGTCTTGGTAAATAAACATGATAAAATCATGTTGCAGCCACATGATTTGTCATGTTTTGGATACATGACAATCATGTTGCGGTATCATGAGAAAAATCATGTGGCAGCAACATGATTTGCCATGTTTTGGATACATGATCAGCCATGTTTATGCAACATGATCAGTCATGTTTATGCAACATGGTGATCATGTTGCGGTAGCATGAGAAAAATCATATGGCAGCAACATGATTTGTCATGCTTCGGATACATGATCTGCCATGTTTCGGCAACATTCCAAACATGTTTATGCAACATGATAATCACGTTTATGCAACATGATAATCATGTTTATGCAACATGATAATCATGTTGCTGCCACATGATTGTCATGTATCCTAAACATGGCAAATCATGTTTATGCAACATGATTTCATCATGTTGCATTTACTATTTATTTTTTTCCGTGCACATGTGCACAGAAAATTCTTTTTCAAATTTTTAAACTACGAATATGTTCTTCTGTAAACTGGCTGAAAAAAAAAATTATACGCCCTTTTACCTTTGCAATTTTTTTTTTCAATTTTAAGCGTAGAATGTGTTAACAACTCGATTGGCAATAAAAAAAAATATGCGCCGTTTTACTTTTAGGCACGCGATATTTTATAAGCGAGGAAAATATTATCGATGCTCAGTAGTAAAATGATATTCTATTACGATTGTCTCTCTTTTAAAAAAGACCATTACTATTATATTATTTATTTTTCAGCAGCGCGCGTGCTGGAGTTATTTAATTGACTAGAATAAAAAATAAACAAATTAAAAAGCAAATAATTTCAATTTATCAAGGTGGCCAATTAATTTAACTTTTAAAAACGTTTCATTCCCTGAATTTCATACATTTGTATATTAACGGCATGGTTAAGAACAAATATTATATAAAAATAAATATAAAACAATTAGACGTTAAATAAAAAATACATGTCATAATTTTAGAAATAAAAATTCAGCCGTAGAAAAATTTTATGAGAATATCATTTAGTGTAACAAAAATAATTTATTATTTGTGCTTTTATTTTTATTTTTTTTTTTAATAATTGAGCTCTTGTTAAAGCGGCTCAAAAGGGAGACTCTAAATAATGGCTGTGTAATTGTACTCGTAAAATTACACTTAAAATCAGTCTTTCCCAGTTATTATTTATATTTAATAGTTTTTCATATAAAAAAATTTTAAAAAAGAATAATATTTATATATATTAATACATGAATAATCCGACGCACGCACGCATACTTATTTTCATGTAATCGTACACATTATATTTATTTATTATTTATATATAATAATATTCATGTATAAATCTGACACAGTCACGAAATTTATATTGTATATTTTTTAATATGTATATTATTTACAATTTATTATTATTATGAATGTTTGTTTTATGGCAATATTAAAAGTGACGATTTTTAATGACAAAACCTATATATTAATTATAACTCATTGTTATAACCAGGTTTGTGAAAATTTCAGCTAACAAAATAATGCCGAAGCTTTTAATTACAGTTTTCATCACGAAAACGCACAATTGCACTCATTAAAAAAATCACATATACAAACATACATCCATATTTATCTTTCGTACTTTTATTTTTTCGTTTAATTAAAACAGCACAGCTCAAATAATAAATTTATGATGATACTTTTTACTTTTGTAAATATTTAATACCCTTTACGCTTGTGAATACGTAATTTGGGTAATAAATAATTTTTTTTTTTTTTTTTAATAAGACTGATATTAATAATTAGGGTTTAAAAAAAGACTGATGAATTGATGTATCATTAATAAAATGAAACCCAGCACAGTAAAAAATTTTGAGTCATTGCTTCAAAAAAACTTAGTGTTAAAAATTTTGGTGTTAAATATTTAATATAAAAATTTTTGACGCAAAATTTTTTACTGTGCATATAATTAAATAATTTTCAGGCATGAAAAATTTTAGATGCTTGATAATTGGTTCCATTAATGATACATTTTAATTTAATATGACTTTAGTTATTATTTATAAAATAATTATTAAAATCTGGTTAACTGTAAATCAAGGGTGACTTACAAAAACGAGAAGATGAGATCAGTCTTTTGGAATATGAATAAATGTCACCATGAGAATGAGATTATTATGAATTAGACTCGTCTTCTGTTAAATTATGTAGGTCTGCATAATTCATAATTGCTCTGTGGAGGAAATCATACTGCGCCTGTAATTTAACAATTAATTTTAATTAAACCATTAAGTCAAGTCTCATTAAAATAAATTTATAATAATAATAATAATAATAATATGTTACTTACGGAGCTACTAATCATGCCATGTCTCTGTGACCTGAGCTTTTTCGTTGTCGTGAAAACGTCGACACGTTTTTCAGTTTTCAACTGTTGTACTAATATACTGAGAGCAACAAACATCGAACTTCTATCCGAGCCAAAGCTACAATGGACGACAATAGGAACTTTTGATTCAACATCTGTGGAGCTTGTTTGATCAACAAGCTCAATAAGTCCACGAGTTACTTCTGGCACTTCACCTTCAACCGTTGGCCAACCGTGATATTGATATTGCGTTACTACTGCAGTTTCATCGGTCTTTGTATTTGCTACACAAAGCTCGCGCCGGGTGTAATATGGACAACTCTCACTTTGAATATAAGACACTCTGATATGGTCATAAACGGCTTCATCTTCTGGCCAATATCTTGGACATTTCCGTGATCCTTCATTCAACTGAAATTTAAATTTTAATAAAATTTCAAAAATCAAATTTAATCAATACTAGCAACCTTGCAGTCACTATGTGACTGCCATGAGTATTGAACTATATATAAATGAAATTTTGCTTTATTAAATAATGACTCTTGTTAAATTGTACTGTACTTTCTTAAATATTGACATATTTAAATATATAAGCTCATCCTAATGTTATACTCATCAAGAGCTTTCATTTAAGTACCTACATGCATTTTTGATATATTTTTCATAAATACATATATGTAATATATATAAATATATAAAATATATGAAAAATTGATGTGGGTACTCAAATGAAAGGCTTCTATGAGTATAATGTCGGGGTGAGCTTATATCTTTAAAAATGTCAATAGTTCACAAGATTCAATGTAAATTCTTAACTATTGACATTTTTAAAGATATAAGCTCATTAAGATATTACACTCATCAAGAGCTTTCATTTGAGTGCTCACATGCATTTTTGATATATTTTTCATATATACATATATGTAATACATAAAATATATGAAAAATTGATGTGGGTACTCAAATGAAAGGTCTCGATAAGTGTAACATCGGGATGAGCTTATATCTTTAAAAATGTCAATAGTTCTCAAGATACAATATTTCCCTTATTCCTTTAATATTATAAATTAAAAAAATAAAATTTAATAAAATATTTAAAAACTTACATCAGACAACATAACAATTGTCGAAATACACTGTTCCGAAATCATTCTCCAAAAGTCAGCAATCGTTGATTCAAGCGGATCTTGTGTAATGATAAACGATTCAAAATTATCATATCCCTCTATAAACGATGCGTTAATATATGTAGAGTGCTCACGACCCGGTATAGGAGTCAATATAACGCGGTTGCGGTCATAGGGGATAACCAATTCGCTTCTATTTTTAATTCTATTCTCATCACCGCTACCTACTGAAAATGATTTACGCTCCTCTAAAACAGCGCTTATTTTTTGTGATTGTGTAACAAGATCCTAAAAAAATTTTATTATTATTAATTTTTCCAAAATAAAATCCTCCACATTAAAAAAAAAAAAAAAAAAAAAAAACACTTACTTCATACTCTTCTTCCAACCGAGTCTTATCTTTTCCATTTTCCCGCTGCCTCAATTTCTCTACCGTAGCTTTTAATTGTCCTAGAGGAACTTCAGTGTCTCCATAAGTCGCCATCTCCATCAGAGAACGATAAATAAATATATATTGCTTTAAAGACTGCACCAAGAAATTCCGTTGATGCCGTAGATCACAAACAGTATTAAAGATAGAAACTTGTCCTTCATCAGCTAATTGTTGTAATAAAGAATCTAGAGCTACCAGTGTACCAGTTCTTCCAACACCCGCGCTACAGTGTACCAAAATCGGACCCTTCTCCAAAGAATACGCTTCGTTAATTCGTTTAATAAATTTAAGAATTGCATGAGGATGTTCTGGAGCCATAAAATCTTTCCAAACTAAAAAGTGATACTGAACAATTGTTCTAGAGTCACGTTCTCCAACTTTGGTCATTTTTAATTCCCGAACAACGTAATCAGAAAATGTTCTTTGTCTTACATGCTCAACAGTAATATCACCAAAATTTTTAGTCTCATCTTTGTCTGGCCAATATTTAGCACACTTTGTTTTAGAATATTCCTCAAGATTTGTCAACATTAATATTAATTCAAGATGTTGCTCCCAAATCATCCTCCAGTAATCACAAACTGTATTATCCATGGGTCCTTGAGCGCAAATAAATTTCTTCCTCTCTTTATAACCAAGCACAAAGTTTGCATTTATATAATCTGAGCCAATAATTCCGTCTATAAGTGACAATCTTACTCGAGTCTGGTCGTAAGATTTAATATCAGGGTACCGATTTTTGTAGAGATTTTCTCGCGCTTCGGATCCGCGGGTAGTGCGATCGGTGAATCTGTCTGGCAATAATTCAAACTCGTGTTGAAATCCGTAGTCAGAATCTCGATGACGCTCCATGTAAGCCTGAAGCAACTCATTTTTAGGAATCGGAGGCATGTCCGGAGGACTAGCTGCTACAAGTTGATGCCTTCCTCTTAAGCTCCTGCAGAGATGCCTACCGAAAAAGGGCATCCATTAGAAAACCAGTTGTTCGATTTTTAACTGGATTTTTTATATTTTTTTTTGTTATTAAAAAGCTCGAGATTCACGATTACTCACCTGATGCTGTTCCTTAAATTAATGTTCTCTTCGCCATTCTGCTCGGCGCGCTTTGTATACCTGTGCAGAGCGCACAGTGCCACTAGCAGAATTATCACAATTAATATTAAGGCAACTGAGACTTGGAGTATCACTCCAAGAGTTCCTCCTTGTTCACTGACCATTGCGCGAGGCTCCAGTCCTCCGAATAGTGTGTTTAAATAGCCACTGTATGCGGGTATTACTTGGCCTTCTTGACTTCCGTATACTGGAATAAAAAATTTAGTTATTTATAATTGGTGATTAGAATTGTGTAAAAAAATCAAAGAAATTAGGACCAGTGATCAAGTTTATAGAAATAAACTGTAATTTATTAAATAATGACTTTTGTTAAATGGCACTGTACTTTCTTAAATATTGACGTTTTTTAAGATATAAGCTTATCCTGATGTTACACTCATCAAGAGATTTCATTTGAGTACCCACATGCATTTTTGATATATTTTTCATATATGTAATATATATAAATATATAAAGTATATGAAAAATTGATGTGGATATTCAAATGAAAGCTCTTGATGCATATAACATCAGGATGAGTTTATATCTTTAAAAATGTCAATAGTTCACGAGATTCAATGTCATTTCTTTATTGACATTTTTAAAGATATAAGCTCATCCTGATATGATGTTACACTCATCGAGACCTTTCATTTGAGTACCCACATGGAAATTTTTATATATTTTATATATTTATGGTATTTGTGAAATGTATAAATATATAAAATATATGAAAAATTGATATGGGTACTTAAATGAAAGGTTTCGATGAGTGTAATGTCGAGATGAGCTTATATCTTTAAAAATGTCAATAGTTCTCAAGATACAAGGTAATTTCTTAATTATTGATATTTTTAAAAATGTAAGCTCATCTTGATGTCAAACTCATTGAGACCTTTCATTTGAGTACCTACATGCATTTTTGATATATTTTTCATACATACATATATGTATGAATGAGCTTATATCTTTAAAAATGTCAATATTTCACAAGACACAAGGTCATTTCTTATGTATCTAGAGATAGAGCATTTTCAAATGTAACCTAAATACTTATCATCATAAATTGATTAACTATATGACAAATTAAAGTTAAGACCTTCGCAATATCACTAAATTTCACTAAAAAACCGATTTTATCATATGAATATCCCGGGCACTAAATTTTCCTTATCCTCTTAACAATATAAATAATTATTAATGACAATTTTTTTTATTTTTCTATAATAAATAAATTAAGTCTAGAAAATTATTTTTAAAAGATTACATTTACCATTTTTCAGAGCTTCTGGAGATAAAAATTTTTCTTGATATAATTTAACTGTTAAAAAATTGTTTTTTTAATTATCAGATGCCCCAATTTAGTATCATAATTATCAATTAAATTATTATCACTTTTATAGTATTAAAAATCTTTATAAGAAAAAAAGAATTTAAAATCACCTTCATAACATTTTCAATAATTCTTCAAAATCACACTAATAACCCACAAAAATATCAGATAAATAAAAATAATCCCAATTTCTTCGATTAAACTAACTAAACCTCTGATGATTCAGCAACATAACAACGCAATAAGTAAATTAACTAAATCTATTTATAAACCAGTAACGTACCTGTCACTTCAATGAACGCCGTATAATTAGAATGCTCATCTAGGAACCCGTCTATCGGCACAAACTGACCAGAATCCGAAGTATTTTCAATGAGCATATTATCACCAATGGAATTATCTCGCCTTCTTCTCGTAGCAATAGTAGTTAAACTTTCTAATTGATTTGTAATAATAGTATTTACATTGGAGTCCGCATTGGGGATCAGTGTAGCCTGAGGTATCGTTGTTGTTTCAACTTTTGGCTTAGCACTCGTACTAGTACTAGTAATAACAGTAGTAGTAGTAGGTGAAGCAGTAGTCGTAGTTATTACCGGAGTTGAAGTTGTAGCTGCAGTAGTCGTACTCACAGTTGAAGCCAACGTAGAAATCTCAGTAGTACCAGTACCAGTAGTAGTAGTAGTAGTAGTAGTAGTAGTAGTAGTAGTAGTACTAGTAGTAGTAGTTGTACTTGTTGTACTTGTCGTAGGTAAACTAGTTATATTAATCAAAATTGGAATTTCAGGAACAAGCCTCAAAGACGGCGAGGGTTTGGGCCGTAGCCCAATACAATGATTGCAAGCCGAGCTGCCATTATAATTAGTATGACCATCTCCAAGAAAAATCTCTGGAATTAAATGATCACTGTCAAACATTTCAGCAACATAAGCTCCACCGGCGGGGGACAAATGAGCGTAGTGATAAGAATGAACATCTAATTCCTCCGGAGGCGGAAGATCAGCCCAAGTTTTATAAGGCGCTAATTTAACTAAAAAAATTCTATAGCAACAAATGGGACCATTGCGCTCCGATATTCTGGGAAGATTAATTTTAAATAAATGTCTTCCATCATTAGCAATTTTTCTCCAACTCCTTGCATTTAAATCTTCACGATCCGGAATAGTTCCTGGCATGCTGCAATTTGCTACAGCTTCTTTTCCGGGAGATCTAACTCTAGTCACCCCATAAATACGCACAGTGTAATTAGTATTAGCAGGTACGCTTCTAAACTCCCAATTGTAATCATTTTCTCGGGTGCTGTGGCTCACGGGTCCCCAACGATCAGTTTTGCTTTGGGATCGATCGTTGCGGTAGTGAGAAATTCCCGATAGGTCTAATTGGTAACGAGTAATTACTCCGTTTAAAATTGCAGGAGGGCTCCAAGTTACTGAGACAGAACTTGACCGGCTAATGTTGTCAAAGTGACAATTCACAGTAAAATTTTGAGGCGCGCTACAAACTCCGTCCATGGTAGTGCCATTTATTTCAGCGCTCCAATTGCCGCATTGTTGGGTGTAATAACTGCAGGCAGCTATTTTAAATTGATAAGTAGTTGCTGGTGATAAATCTGTAAATGCGTGCTCTTTAAATTCGGATTGCGCGTGATGTACAGCTTCTTTTTTTTCATTCCCGTGGATAATCATTAGATTGTAATAATGTACGTGCTCTTTTAATCCCGGAGGCGGTGGAGTCCACCCGAGTGTTATAGACCCACCGGTAATACCTTTAACAATTCCCGTTGGTACAAATACCGGATCTTCATTCAAGGTTGTTATTAATCTTTGATCGGTATATACTTGGGAGTCTCCGATTTCATTGGTAGCTTCTATACTTATTTGGTAAGCCGTGGATTTTTCAAAACCTTTAAGTACATAACTTTTGTGAATTCCGCTTATTCTTTCGCGGTAATATACAATATCACTTGTACCATTTTTTCTAAACTTAACATTGTAATGTAATATCGGTTTATTACCATCGTTAACTGTCCAATTAAGGTAGATTTTATCAGCACCAACTGCTTTTATAAAGTCAATGTTCACCTGAGGAACGTCAACAACAAAAAGATTCCTCAGGCCTACTACTAAGTTATTAAAATCGTGGGATAAACACGAGTATGTTCCATTGTCATTTCTGTATACTCGGGTGAAATTTAACATCGATACGTAATATGTTTCGTTGACTTTTATCACGTGAGTTTGCTCTCGCAAGTCTTCTATGCTTTCCGTGTTGTTTCCTTTTATCCAAGAGAAATTACGGAGAGGGAAACCGTGGAAGTTACATTTTAGGATTACTGGCGCTGTTGCATTCACCCAAATGTCTTGAATTGGTTCAGTTCTACCAGGTTCTGAAAATTTAAAGCCAAAATTAGTGTCACCGTTATAATATTTAAATAAAAAAATACACTAAATATAGTTAAATAAATGTAACAGCATAGGAATATTTTTTTAAAATTTATCATAAATTTTGGAGCAAATTAATTTACTCTAAAATTCACAATCTATAAATATTTCCTATTGATCAAAATTTTCTTATTTAATTTTTAATTTTTTACATTACTCGACGGTCTAATTAGCAATTTGTCTCTCCTTATTTTTTAGAGGGTAATTTTTTAACAACTTGAAATAGCAATAGTCTAATTATAAATTATTTAAATGATTCAAACAAAAATATTATACCTCTATCAGATATTAAATTATTTTTTAAAGTGATAATAAATTTTGAACAATTTTTTTTTTTTCGTACAAATGGCAGATTGTCTTAAATACATTTAAAAATTTGCTAATTAGAACTCGTACTGCTATATTGAACTATATTTAAAGAATTTCTATATCACCTATTAATTAAACAAAAAAAAAAAAAAAATTACCTATGACCCGTATGGAAATAGTTTTTTCTAAAAATTCACCACCATAAGTCTTGGCTCTGCAACTATAATTACCCGAATCCTTCCTACTAGCCTTCTTCAAATCAAACCTCGCCCTGTAGTCGGATTCATTAATCGTCGTGACATTTTTATCACTAAATGTCCACCAGATATGACTAGGTTCACTAAGCTTACATATAAAATGAGGTGTACTATCAGCTTCAATACCGTCCAATTGTTGTGATGCTTCTATTTCCATACTAGCAAATGGAACATTAACATTTTGTGTCACCACTTCTGTTATCTTAGTCGCTGTAAATAAAAAAAAAAAAAAAACAATGAAAATTGATTATGAAAATAAATTTAGCAGATATTTAATAATTTTTTTTTAACCAAATTATGGCAAAAAAATTAGAAAAAAAAAATTGACATGTAAAAATTTTAAAAAATAAAAAATGCAATTATTTAAAAGTAAGTTTTTTGAACAAATTTGTTTGTTAAAAGAAATTAAAAAATTCTCTAGTGACTGCTAACTTTAATGTCATAAAAAAACAAACATGACATTAAAGTCCTGATAAAATACAAAATAATTGATCATAAAACACAAAACAATGATCTTGTTGTGATGTGCTATATAAATTTTCAATAATTAATTATGACATTAAAGTTAGCAGTCACTTGACAATTTTTTAATTTTTTTTTTAACACAAAAACTAAAAAATTATTTTTAAAAAATTGCATTTTTAATTTTTTTACAATTTTTCTTTGCACTAATTTATTTCTTAAAGAAAATTAAAAAATTCTCTAGTGACTGCTAACTTTAATATCATAAATTATTTTAGCAGATATTAAATAATTTTTACAACTTTTGTTAACAAATAAATTATGACAAAAAAAAATTGACATGTAGAAATTTAAAAATGCAATTTTTTAAAAATAATTTTTTAGAATTTATTTAATTGTTAAATAAAATTAAAAATTTTAATTGTCAAGTGACACCTAACTTTAATGTCATAAAAAAATAAACATGACATTAAAGCCCTGATAAAATACAAACTAATTGATTATAAAACACAAAACAATGATCTTGTTGTGATGTGCAATATAAATAATTACATCCAACTGAAACAAGATATTGTAAATAATTAACAAACAATATTTATAAATTTTGAGATGATTAACGTGTTAATAATAAATTTGCCGGTATGACTAATGACGATATCTTTGTAAAAGCGACAAAAAAATGGAGCATAAAATAAATAGATAAAATAAAAAATATTTACTGGTTTCGTTGAGCTCATTGCCAGCAACAATCCTGAGAATATAACACGATAATAAAATAAGGGAAAGACTCGCCATCGACTCACAGCTCGGTAACATGGCGTCTACTAAGGACAGCTCGTTTATGACAGCCGGGCGTGTACGTGTGCCCTTTGGCTCCTTTTATCCTTGTTGCCTTTTTTTAGATTTTAATTTTTATCAAATAAAAAAATACAATTCCACTTCTAGCTGGTCAACTGTTTAGTTGAGAAAGCATCACCAGGAGTTTAGCCCTTTCTCCGTAACATATCCCACCTTCTTAGACGCCTTCCTCAAGCGTCGCTCTCAACCCCGAAAAAAAATCGTTTACTTCAATACACAATTATTTAAAACACTGAAACAATTTAAAATTACATTTACACTAATTAAATAAAACAAACTGTTGTTATTATTAACAATAAATAGTTATTAACTTACACTGTGTCACTTGTAAACTAAAACTTGGACTACTCAAGTTGCCAAGTGCTCCGAAGCAATCAACACTTATATCCTCAGCTCAGGATGCTGTATATTATACTTGTACAGTGTGTACTGTCTACTTGTACAGTCTGTACAACTCTGTAACTCTCTGTATGGTGTATGCACAATCCACAATCTGCCGGTGTGTCCAGACATTTTGAAAGTATTTAGTCAATCAATGACTGTTCGATGAACAAGGCCCAGAAGCAATAAATTCGCTCCTGGGGGCCTCCCAATTTCAAGAGACGCACCTGTTTGCCGCTAGTTCCCGCAAAAATAGTCCGCCAATCAAAAAATAGCTTTTAGATCACGCCATGGATCGAGCGCTTGATAGGCTGATCGCTCTCGCCAGACATGCGCAGTAGCCAGGCTCATCGATGACTTATTATTATTATTATTATTATTATTATTATTATTATTATTATTCTTTTTGGCTCTGGGTATTTTTTCCCATTCGGCCGTTGGTAGATGTGTTGGTTAGGAACTTGCCTTAACCTAAGCGGCGCTGGAGCGAACCTCAGAGAATCGAAAGATATCAACAATGTGAAAAATCTTTGTATTGGGACTCGCTGGGGATCGAACCCGCGCCTTGCCACATGAATTGTACGAACGAACCAACGCATTGAACCGCTCGGCCAACATCGAGGCCATCGATGACTTATATATAAGAAGTGGCGCTACACTCGCTTATTGTTTACATGTATACTACCCACAACTATAAAAGTAACTAGTAAAAAAGTCACTAGTGCACTTCCAACTTGTGCACTTGTTACTTGTGGATCCAAAATAGGGACAAAATGGCGTCATTTCTCAGTCATTACGTACATGTGTTCAGATGCAAAATAAAAACATCAACAATTAAAGTATAAATAATATTTTTTTAATGACAGTAAAAGAAAATTTTCAACTAATTACATAAAACATGTACGTTACTTTTATACTTGTGGGTAGTATACATGTAAACAATAAGCGAGTGTAGTGCCACTTCTTATAAGTCATCGATGAGCCAACCAGGCTTTCCAAAAAAAATATAAATAACCTATTAGCTATTAGCTCACGGTCGGTCGTTGTACATACATCAATCACAACTAACATATGTTATATTATATAATAAAGGTAAGCAAAAATTATTTTATTTATTTAATATTATAAAAAAAATAAAAATAAAGATGTGTGCTTACGGCTAATTTTTGATTCGTTAATAAAATAATTGAGTTATAATTTGAATAATAATAAAAGTAGTTCGGAAAGCTCGTGGCTATACACCACCATTTTTTTTATAGACTGTTCTAAACGTTTCAAGTGACTGACACAATCATCAAATGGACAATTATATCCGAGTGAAGGATGAAGATCAAAAAGCAGCAGCAGATCAATTTGCATATTTTCCGTTGATAACCGAGTGTGTTATAGCATTGGGCAAAGTCAATAATGAGGTAGTGCTGGGTCATGTTCCTCCAGACGTCAAGCATGAGTTACCTCACGATCACTTCATTGACGACAAGGAGCTAGCAAAAGGAGTAAAAAACCTGAACCTAGGAGGAGAACTTGGAGTTGATGGTAATTTTTATTATAGTATAAAGTAAAAGATGATGATAATAAAAAAATTACCAGATATTTAATAATGAAATGATAAAATTAAATAGGGTGTCAATAATAGGGGCTTTTTACTTTATTTATTATTTTAAAGGAGGAACACTACTGTGACGATCGAAAAAAAGAGGTGGTTTGGAGATCGGATTATTTTTATTTTATTAAGACATTAAAGATTATTACCCTAAATTTTTATTAAAAAATATTTAATTATTACAAAGTTATTAACAATCTCGTAGAGCACTAGAAAAAATTTCTCTCTCCATGGTCGGTTCGATAACTCAAAAACGGATCATCTGAAAATGAAAACCCAAATTGCATTTTAATCAGTAAGGATGTAGTTATCTTAAAAATTTTAATTTAAAAAGAAATGGCGACTGATTGAAAATTTTCTCACTATTCTTACTGTTTTTTTTTTTGTTTTAACTCGGCTAAAAAAATCTTTAAAACAAAAATTTTTCAAATTCCGTACGTGCGACGATAACTACATCCTTACTAATTATAAAGCAATTTGGGTTTTTATTTTCAGATAATTTATTTTTGAGTTATCGAACCGACCGTGGAGGGGGGAAATTTTCTCCAGTGCTCGACGAGATTGTCAATAACTTTGTAATAATTAAATATTTTTGAATAAAAATTTAAGGTAATAATCTTAAATGTACCCTTAACAAAATAAAAAAAAAAAAACCAGGAAATTTCCGAATTCCTTTATTTTCTTAAACGACTTATTATTTCTAATGATTTAAAATTATGTTTTTATAGGTAATCATCGGGCTACGTGCCAGACGTGTCGCTCAATAATTCGAATATTCCAGCAACACCAAACATTATTTGCATCAAGAATGAATATGTACAATACGAACTACAACACAAACCATACTAGTTTCCAGGTTCTGGTATAGAGTTATAGGGCGATCACCGACCGCAAACTCAGAACCAAATCACCACGATTTAAGACGTGTCCGTGGACCGGTATTCGTCGAAAAGTATTGTCGTGATGAAGACAACATCTAGGTACAATTTATTTCACACAATTAATTGTCACTATTTTTCACGGCAATATATGATCATATATTGGGTCTTTTACCTTACATATGAGTAAACTTTGGTGAAAAAAAACGGCATGATATAAAACATCGGTCGATTATTAACTTTGTATCATACTTTTTATTAAAGTGGATAAATAGTTTAATTGTAAAGATACAAAAAAAACGCATTTGTCAAGAACACTGTGCTCCATTTATACCGACATAATATGTTTTTGATCATTTTATTATTTTTTTAAGTATTAAATGAATAATTAATATTTAATTTCTCTCCAAGATATTTCGTGCACATAATGTGTAACAAAATAATGGATTGAGCTCAACTGACTGAGTGGGTGTATTATATATTTATACCAGGATAAAATAATTGTGTGAAGGAAATTTTATTTTTTGTTAACTTTAATTTAATTTATTAATTTCATCAGGATTATCTTGTAATAAATAAAATAAAACTTAATACACTAATGATAATTTATCAATGTATATAGAATGGAATTATTAATACAAAATTATAAATAATTCTATCTATATAATATATATTATTTAACAAACAAATTTGTTTTATTTTTTTAAATTCCTAAATGTCATTTTTTTGCCATAATTTGTTAACAATTTGACATGGTCATTGGAAAAATAATAGTAACAATAATTTTAAAAAAATTTTAATTATATTAAATTTATGAAAATTAAATTAGCCGACACTTAAAAATTTTTATAATTTATTTTATTGAAAAATAATTTTTAAAAAATTAAAAAAAAAATTTTCACATGCAAAAAATATTAAAAATTATATTTTTTAAAAATAGTTTTTTAGTTGAAATTTTTAATTAATAAAAAATTTTTAAGTGTCGGCTAACTTAATTCTCATATTAAATTTTTTGATTATTAAAATAGATAAAATAATTATTACAAAAATTTTTTTTTTAGTAATTTTTAAAAATTAAACATTAAAAAGAATAAAAATGAAGTTAGCTGACATCTAAAAATTTTTAGAAATTTTTTTATTGAAAAATTATTACAAAAAAAAAAGAAAATAAAAAATTTCACTTGTAAAAAACTCGAAAAACTATCAGTGCAATTTTTTAAAAATATTTTTTAGTTTTTATTTAATAAATAAAAAATTTTAAATGTCGGCTAACTTGAATGATATTAAAGTTACCTGTCACTTGACTAATTTTTAATTTTATCTAACAATTAAATTAATTCTAATAAATTATTTTTAAAAAATTATGAATATTAAGTAAGCCGACATATAAAAATTTTCATAATTTTTTTTATTGATAAAATCATCACAAAAATATAAAAAAAAAAAAA